CGATGAATACAGAAAGAGGTCATCCAAGAAGACTGAAACATTCGATGCATTATTAAGCTAGGCAAAAACTGTGCCATTCTTTCCCAATCGGTTGATTAGAATCCCATTATCATAGATAGCCAAAATATAAATACATCAAACAATTATTGAGAATGCTCAAGACTTACCATTAACTAATCTATAAGATATTTCAGATATAGTTAGATCTTTCAGACAATTGTAAAAGTTGCTTCTAGAACTCCTGCTATGGTGTCCAAAAATACGAAAAAAATACTCCTTAACGATATATTGGCACAGATTCAGAAAACGTTTGTCAGTCGTTTGTTCGAAGATTTAAGAGTGAATGTAGACTCAAATTACGAGTGACCAGTCAATCACACCACATACGAAAATCATATTCAAGGATTAAGAAAATTGGGATATTCAGGCTCTATAATGAATTGAGTCATGTTTCCTAATTTATCAAGAAGGGTTATGGAAAAGATTGTGCTCTTATTGTTGTTTCATATTTATACTACAGTAGAACAGTAAAAGATAAACTACGTTTGATGAACTCCTCAGTTGAAGACGACCATTGTGGCAACAACAATCCTATGAATAAGACCAAAAATGAAAATAAAAATACGAATTTACAATTTTTATCGTTGCGAAGACCTATTAGCTTAAAACCAAAAAACCAACAGTCAAGTGATTTTTCTTTATTACTGCATTTGTTGGTACATTCATAAGTATTGTCTTAAGTTGATGGTTCTGAGTTGTTTTTCCACGACTATTGTCAAATCAAAATATCTTGTTTACCACAAACTTGTTAGAAGCTCTCATATAACGCATAGCTTAGATGAGTCCAAGGGACGACAATAATTCAACACACATCCACATTTTTGCAACATATCACGTGAGAAGTCGAGTTCAGACTTCATTCCAGTCCTCTGTGCCATTGGACCGTATTCAAGTCGAGCACGACAGGTGATGCAAAAGTTCTTGGAAATATGTAACACACTGTTGCACTCGAACAGATAGATATGAAAAGATTATGTGTTTTTAATAGATAGAACATGATGCGTAGTTTAAAGAGATATTTTTAGTCGATTTCTTTTATAAGCAAGTAGCAACATCCATTCGATTCCTTTGGAAACTCTTAAAAAAACAGCCTGTAAACATTTTGTACAGTAAAAAATTGAGTATCGGTAAGGGCCTTCTTCTCCATTCGTTTCCCATTCATACCCACACGCTGAACAGTGTCATATTTGTTCATTCTACAAAGAACTCTTGGTATGACGCAGATGAACGTTTGATCGGAATCGTGCTATGTGATTTTGAAGTTTTATTATATCGGATTCTTATCTTCGTATGCGCTAAGATTCAGTGAATCAACTCTTACTGATCGAGGGTAACCAGTCCAAAAATGCTCATTGTTAATTCTTATAAAATGATTATTAGATCACCGTAAGAAATCATTTCGATGCTATTTTCTGTCACTAATGAAATATATATTTTGAATGAAAGGCAAAATAAGAAACGGAAAAGATGTACAGAGGTCGAAATACACTTTTTTAAAACATGTATAGAGCCAGTGAACTTCCATTAAAGCTTCCTATCATAAATGAATATTTGACAGTATTGCAACTTTTTTGCAAGTGGACTGCATGAGTTTTTCTATATCTGTTGCCTTAGTAATATTTGACACAATCAGTTTAGTCTCACGCTACCAGTCGAGCAACTTTGATCATGAAGAACATCGTATGACACATATGTACGAGCACCTATCACTTTCGCAATAATATTTGTCTTACTCTTAATTTTCTTGTACCTTTTTGTATTTTTTATTTTATACGGAAACTTAAAAAGGATAAGTAGTTAAGTTACATATGGAATTAAGATTGGAAACATACAGTTGTATCAGTTTCTCGATAAAAGATGGACGAAAATTCTTATATTGTTCGCTTTCAGACTATTGAGTGAACATCAGATAGCTTCTGATAATCAAAAGAAGAAAGTGTTGTTCCCATATATTTGGGTACTTGTTCTAAGTTGTCAAAATGGTATTTTTTTCTCATAACAGAATGCAAGAAACAATTCTTGAATATCTNCACACCCACACACCCACCAACCCACCCACACCCACACCAGAGATGAGCACAGGACAAGAATATTTTACCTGTCTTGTTCTGTTCTGCTAACTTTTCTGTCCTGGCGGGCGGGAGAAAAGGACAAAAACAAAAATCTCGTCCTGTCCTACAGGCCAGGACAGGACAGGACAGGGCACCAGGACAACAGGCCCGTCCTGTCCTGTGCTCATCTCGGGTCCACCTATATAACATCATTATAAATGATAATTGTAACATTTGAATAATATTTCTTAGCTGTAACTACACTAGGTAATTGCCAATGAAATTAAGAAAGTTTTTTTTTGTACTATGATATATGTTTACACGGATACATAAATAGTTTTTCTATTTTTTAATTGAGAAATCGAAAAGAAAAGCTATGCATGACAAAATGTGTCAGTAATTCTATTCAGGATACTTTCGATATACTGAATATATTTGTTTAAAAAAGATGTGTATCAAAGCAGTCCATAGAATGACTTACTGCTTCTTATATCAGTGCAATTATCATGCGGAATAGATGCCGTTAGTTGTGAAAAGTTCTTCATCAAAGAATGAAATTTTAGGTGCTGATTTAGATCATTGAAATTTATCTTATTTAAACTCTGAACTCAACAGATCCTGTTACTGTTGTGTTTTGGCAGCATTTCAACGATATGGAACACAATCAAAAACTCAAGTTGAAACTGACTTTAAAAAAACGAGATCGAGCAGATGAAAACGAGTACGATCTCTCTATGAGTATATAAATGATAAATATTTTCATTGGAAATTTTTAATTGAAATAGGTTTTAATGATTAGATTTATCTATGACAAGACATAAGTTACAAAAAAATAAAGAATTCAAGTATATAGTATTCATTTGAAGAGAAATCAAATAAAGTTCATATTTTGTAACATTCATGCGGAGCATGAATCAATTGAATCGAACATTTTCATTTTCAAACTAATGTTTTCTTCTTTTTTGTACACATTGTTTTTGACCTTTCTTATAATGGCTATAATTGTCATATGTGCAGGTAATAGCGGTATGTGAAAAATCACATTTTGATTTAGTTTCAAAACTCATTTATTTAACAGAATTCAATTTATTACATTATTTTCTCAAACAATAAAAGAATTAAGTATCGATCTTTTCATTAAACTAAAAAACTATTTAAAAAAAAAACAATAAAATCGTAAGAAATGTTTGAAAGGCTCACTTAATAAATCAAAAGCTGGTAATGAATCGCTTTCTTATACATAACAGTCATTTGTTTGTGTTAAAAAACTAACTTATGGTTCGTTAATGACCTTGTCTAAAAATAAGTCTGTAACAGTATCACTCGCGATGATCAACTTACCAGTTAGTCTTTTGAAAAGACTTTTTTCTAATATCTTCAATCAGTCTTTAGTCATTCACGTTAGATCAGAAGCTAAACTTTGAAGAATTATTTGTCTAAACCAAACAAAGAGGAATGCTAATAGGTATTAAACTGGAATGAAAATAGAGCCTTATTCAACGACTGACACCACTTATACAATATGGCATAACATGTATTTACAAGACAGAAAAGCTCAACGAACCCGATGGATCGGTGATGTACTCGTTACGTGATTAAAATATGACAATTTACTTTTAATCTCTAGTACACGATTACGCGGAGATATTCTCGAAGAAGAAATATTGGCAATTGATGACAAACCTGCAAAAAAAGGACCACCATAAATGCATTGGACTGAAGCGTGCAAAAGCATAGTATGCAAGCGATGAAGATACCATTAGAATGGCTATTGTTGCTTATGATTCAAGTTTTTTTGACTTTGTATTCTGATAAAAGTATTTCTGATTTCATTCGGAAATAGAAATCAGACTGACGGTTTGATCGGTTTTTATCATTTTTATATAATGATACCTTAGACGTTTCAAAACTGCAAATATGTTTCGATTAGAAGACAAGAAAAAAAACAGCAACTGTCAACCATCTTAATATAAGAAATACTCATTGATAACAGAATTTATCGTCATCGACAACAAATATAGAAATTAATAATTACTTTAGGATAATCATTGTTCAAACACCTATTCATAAAATTTCTATCACGGATTCAGAGTTTTCAAATATATTCATTGAAATTTTTTTTCTCCGAATGAATTTGACAGTATATCAAATTGAATTCTTGTTTTGTAGAAACTCTTCGATCTTCTGTGGATATTCTAGTTGTGATCACTTATTAATAATAACTGAGTTATGCTGAAACTTCTTCTAAATTGATTTTTTTTATGAATATAAATTTATTTCTAATTTACAATCTATCGGCAATAGTGTATGCTCAATTAAAAAAAATGACTCTTTTCTAGACAAGCTTTCAGATAGATATTATAGTCATTGCTGATGTTTTATAACTATACATTTCCTTTGATATTGACGTCATTTGTAATTCTAAGCCATAGTTTCAAATTAGAAAAGAAAATGGATCTACACGTAACGATATTTTGATAGGATTGCTCGTATTTTTCTTTTTGTTTTGTTTTAATCACTGACTCATGCACATCTATAAATCATATTTGGATTAAAAAAAAAGACAAAAATAGGATTAAACATTCATGTTTTGATCTAGTTGTTATTCTTGGTTACAATTGTATCTTCAAAAAAAATTTGCAAATTATATATTGAAAGCCAAAGAAAATGGTGCACCCACATCAATATTTTAATATTGCTGCTATAATTTTCATTTTGTTTGCTTCTATATTGTTCGGACAATGTTTGACTTCAAATATAATTGGCCGAACGTCAACGAGTGAGCTGAGCAACTTTTCTGCTTCAATACCTTGTTCATCTCTAAATGTATCTGCACTGCGTGTTTTGACATTTGATTTGTTTGGTGCATTGATGTTAACAAAGTCTTCAATGAATCATAATATTGCTTCTCTTTTACCATCATTATCATCGTCGGATGTCGAGAAATTTACAACTGATTGGCTTAATGCATATGTTTCATATTTTGGAAAATCATTTCCATCATCGATGACACATCAACCTTTTCTATGGGTCATTCGTTCATCATTATTGAAAATATTAGATTCATTTGATTTATCAAGTAAAGTGCCTGAAGGTAGTGCTACTTTCAATTCATTGATGTCCGCATGGGGAAATCTACAACCACGTGTTGGTGCTGCAGAAGTTCTCGCTAAATTGAGCAGAAAATATCAATTAGGATTACTTTCCAATGGGGATAAAAGTACACTGCAAGCAGCCCTACGTGTGTTTCCATTATCAGTAAATGTTTCATTAATATTATCATCAGATTATCCAGTCAACTGTTTCAAAACATGTCCATCAATGTATGCTCAAGCACTAGCTGCAGTAAATGGTGATAAGACCCAAGTTTTTCATATAGCTGGTTCAGCGTACGATGCACATGGTGCACGTACTTTTGGGATTTTTTCAGGTGCCTTAGATGCTTCTGCAATGCATACTAATCCTAAACCATGCTTTGCTTTTAATGATATATCACAGCTACTTTCATTCTTTGATGTTTAAATGAAAGAATAATGTACTAGTGTATGTATTCTCATCAGAGTGACATATTCTCATTAATTGAAATATCCAACGGATTCATAGAATGGACAAATGTTCGTCCATCATTGATCTGTCAACTTATCGGAAACTGTCATTCCAAATGATCGATCTAAGACTTTGATACGCTTAAATGCCTAATTAAAGATGAATTACAATAGGTTACGAGGGGTCAATATTAGGAATAAACCAAAATTAAAATTAGTTCTAAAATGTTGGTATTCATATTGATCGTATTTGTTTTGAGATATTAAAAAGAAAATAATTTCAAAAGGATAAATTCATGATTCTTTCCTACAAACTTGATTGTATATGTTTTCTTGTAATGAATTTTTAACATAATATTGCATAAGAAATTCTTTACTTTAAGTTTATTGTATAGAAATCAAAATTCTAAATTATGAAAAAAGCATTTTTGGAGCAATGACTTTAGTTTCATTATTCGTGTGAACTAATCCTTTTTCTCAATATACTTAGAACAAATGACGTAAATTCTATTGTAAACATCTTCTTCGTGTCACTTTTCCTGTCTGAATGTAGTTTCGCTGAATATATATGAGGTATTTGTGTCTCTTTTTAATTTAGTTGTAATATTTATAATTATTTTTTCATAAGCATGTCTATACCAAAAGGTGATACGTTTTCTTTAAGTTAAAGTTAAAATGAAAGTAGCCATTGTTTTTCTTATTAAAGAAAACCTTTTTTTTAAGAAAATAGCGATTTTTTTACACAGTTTGATCCAAGGTTTTTAGAATTGAGAAATGAAAATCTGCGTTGGTTTTCAAAATTTTTAGTTTGAGTTTTTTTTCTAGAAAATTTCTTTTGTTCATGAGTAATTCCTTTAATTAATCATATTAAAAAAAAACATTTTCTTTTGACAGCAGCTACTTTAAGGAATGTTTATTTATGAATTAATTTAGAAAAAAAAAGAACCATGAAAGATCTAGATGACCTGAAGCCTATAATAACAAGAAAAGTTCGAGTAAATATCGATGAAAAAAAGCAAATATTGCTTTCGATATAAAAAAAAGACCCTAAGTTTTGTGGTATAGCCATAGTGCTATCTTTTCTACAATGTTAATGAGTTTTGTTTTTAAAAATAAAAACATACTAGTTCCCTCTTTCAAATAGAAAAAAGTAGTGGATTAAACTTGATCAATAGTGGAATTATATGTATTTATACAGCTATCATGACTTTAGAGGTACTCTCTATTACAGTATCAGTTTTAGATGAGAGATTGATTCTTATTTTCCTGGTACCGAAACAGACCGAATCGGTCTAGTTTTTAAAAAAATTCAAACGGAACCGATCTCATCTCTGATTTGTTTCGCGTTTTTATGATTTTTCCATTCATAACAATACATCTAGTTGTATGATCCTTCTAAATGTCGTTCGGGACACATAATGTGGGGTGTAGGTGCTGTGCTATCTTACATCGACACTCACCGCCCACACCTTCACAATATTTTGACGTAATTGGCTGGTATTTTTACCGTCAATAGATAAATGTTCATTGCTCATAGTTAACACAAGAAGTACTGGCAAAATCTCTTTTGGAAGAATCACAATTGACTACAACAACGAACAATAACCTTTCGCGGATTATGAAAAGAAAAAAGTATAGCATTTTTCTGAACAAATTCATTTTATTTATTGTTGGAGCTTTCAATGTACAAAGAGTAACAAGACATGTATCTGCTGCAGCGGCGAAACCAGGATTTTGAGACCAATGAGCAAATTTCTATTGTGTCAGACAAAGAAAATGATGAGCAAAATGGATGAGGTTTTTATTGATAGGCGAAAAATTTTTTAGTCCACACAAAGTACTTATAACGTAAAAAAACACAAAAATGAAATGAGATTCTTTTAATCAAATATGTATCAAAACTTCGATCTTAAGCCTGAGTCAGGTGTATATTAATCTATTTTTGATATCTCTGTTTATAACATTTATATTTCAAATTCAAACATCAAAATCAAGACGATAATGATGCATTTATGTATACAATTTCAATATTCCATCTGGATTTATATCGAGATCTTTATGAATGTTATTTTATTTCATTGCAGACCGATAATAACTTTTAATTCTCAATAATTCACGGAAACTACTTTCAGCAGAAGCTGTTGATACAGGGAATGTTGCCAAGCAAATTAATAAATAACGAACATTTGACCTATACATCGTTAGTATTTTTGCAATAAAATCAAACTCACATTCACTCAAACTTACAGTTAAAATACAAGAAGCGATTCTTTTCTTCTTCTTTGCTCAATTCTTCGCCGAAAGAACGAGTAACGAGTAGACGTGTGATTCAGACGGAAGAAAAAAAATACAGTTACTATGTAATTCAAAAATAAATAAACAATTCTGAAAAAAGGATAATTTCAATTGGCAAATTTTCAAATGAAATGGGTAATTACCCATTCGCCGCCCCCCCCCCCCTCCTACGCTGGTTATGCCGTTGATCTGCTGTATAAATTTTGGATCAAACGACAACAGTAATCAAAATCTTCGATGTGTCATTTATTCTTGTCTATAGAATAAATATATTGTTTTTTTTTCATAACTCGTCATATGTTATAGTTCTTTGTTGCAGTCCATTGTGATGCTTTAAAACAGGTTTTATCAATGCTTTTTTTTGCGAAGATAAGCTATGAACACCCTTCTATTAGTGATAAAAATATTGCGAAGATACTTAAATTTTTCTTTGGTTAAGAACTTTCTGGATACTCTATATATATATTTTTTTATTAATTCACTGTTATTCGTTCACATCCATGAAGCAACAAAAACAAAACAATTGTATATTTAATCTGAGTGTTTACAATCAAAGATAAAAAAATCAACAATTAATTAAAATCTTACACAAATAAAATGTCTAACAGTTGTTAATCATTATTATATGATGGAAAATTTAATCAAACTTTGTTACAAAAAAAGAAAAAAAAGAGAAAATATAATCTTCATTTTTGCTTGTTTATTCTACTTCTAATAATAAATCAATTAAGTCGATAATTTTGATTCTGATGATTTACTGTCATAATTTTGTATATCATCATCCACTTGTTTAGTCGATTCTTTGTTACAATTCTTTTTTTCTTTTTGATCTTTCTTATTTAAAATTTTTGAACATTCTGCTATTGAGTTTTTATTCATCACCAAGTCTATAATTACATTTAATCATTAAAAGAAAGATATTTTTCTAGATTTTATATTTTACCAGACATATCATTAGGCATATCAATTTGTAAACATTCTATGAAATTTATTGAATTCATATCGTTATCATCTAATAAAATAATAATTATATGAAATCTCTAATACACTAACTTACAATATTTCGAAATATGACTACTAGCATCTTCAACAGATTTTGTTCGTTTATTTGAAACTATAAATATAATCGTATGAAAGTAAAAGAAAAAAGATTTTGCTAATAATTAACAAACGGTAATATTCTTTGGATATCTCTATTGGTAATTGTCTTTCATTATCTTCACCAAATATGATTATATCATGATCTAGTTTATGATTAAATAATTACAAATAAAAAATAAACAATATAGAAAGTAAAGAAAGTTTGTATTTTTTTGTTTTACCATCTAATTTTCGTTTTGTTGGTAAATTTTGAAGGACCGAATTCGATATTATTTCAGTATCATTCAAATCTAAGAATTAAATTCTAATAAAAATAAAATAATAAATATAATCTAGTTACCATTCATTGCACATGATACTTCATTCACATTGACACTTGCCATAGAATCTAATTTTACATAGTCATCATCTACAAATATTAAAAAAATGCTCTTTTTTTTTTCGTTATTTTTTAATTCATAAATTTTAATTACATTTAAGTTCTTTTCGAATAAAATCTGCAAGAAGTTCTTTAATTGTATTATCATTTCGATCAAATATTGTTTCTTTTTCATTCGTATTTTTAATGTTCATAACATATAATGGATCATAATGTCCTTGTTGTACATCATGCAACATACAAACATACGTTGTTGCTAATGAATTATTTTCACCGTAGAACAAAGACCATACAAATTTTGCTCCATTACATTCGGTCACAGATATTAAACAAATTATTGTGTTGTATATATTAGATAGAACTTGAAGTTCAAGATCACCACCCCATAATTTTCCTTCTTCAATTGCCGAACAATATTCGTCGACTGTGCCCCTATTTGAAATCGTATAATGGATTTCTTTATGGTTACGAATATAATTGGCCGTATGTATACGTAAGTCTTCATTGTATTGCTCAAGTAAAGGTTGGTTGAATACTTTCAGAGCAGACCAGTATAAACATGTACCATCAGAAAGTACATTTCCTCGAACAAATTTGTGTGTTTTTCCGGATATTTTGCCCATGAATATTGGAATATTATAACTGCTATATAAAACAAAATGAAGTAAAAATAATATAAATCTATGACGGATTCGGATCCGTAAAAAGGTGGAATTGAAGATTCTCTAATTATGATTTAGAACGCTTCAATGAACTCTGTCGAAGTCGGAATGATCATACAGATAGATTTTTGCAGTTACATTAGTAAAAAAAAAAGAAACTTAAGTATTTTTACTCGTACATAGTAACAACTTTATTCTTCGTTATTAACAAGTAGCACAAAAAAGAAGTATAAAGACTCACACTTTAAAACAAATATTACTTTCAATGAAAAAGTGTTGATCCTGGAAACACTGTATCTATATTAGTATGCTGATCAAAAAGAATTTCGACTCTATTACAAGTATATGTAAGAGAAGAGAAAAAAAATTATCTGACGTCTATGAAATAGAAAGAAAAGAACCGATATTAAACTTTGAAACTTATGAATAATAGAAGCGAAAGAAAAAAATTAGATCGAATTTGCAAGGAATGTTTAGTGCTAGACAACATCTATTGGCCTATGTAACACCAATCACTTATAAGATTATGATGCAATAATCACTCATACTTTCAGTTTCAAATGATATTTATTTGTTCTATTCAGCAGTTTTTCATATTAACATACAAAAACATGTGCAATCTGTAAATAATCTTTGCTCTTATCAAAGTCGAATGAATAAATACTATTAAAGTTAATTAATTGAATTCTGCTCCTATATGAAAATAACTAATAGAAAACTGAAAGAATCTATTATAATAAATCAATGATTATCACATCTTCATTATATATATGAAACAGAAGCAAATATTTTTATATTGATGTCATGTGAAAGCAAAAAAACGGATGTTTTTATGTATATATAAGTATTACATAGCGAGATTCAAAATACATTATGTGTCATAACAGAATATCAATAAATAAAATTACATCGAAATATAATTTCTCAATTGGAAGTGATTGATTCAAAGAGTAAAAATACCCAGCATACCATAAATAAACAGTACGCAAAATTTCAAAAATATGAAACCATACAAAAATTAATCCAACAAGAACAATACAACGATGAACTAACAGATCTTCATTTTGATAATAAACTTTCTTGTGAGGTTAGTTATGTAACACAACAGGAACTTATAAAAAAAATTTTTTTTTAATACAAATATGAAGCAATACTTGTTTATTCTTTATTATCCACATATACTTGATACAATATAAGAAGACAAAAACAAAAAAGAAAAAACACATGCTCACTGTTCACTAAACATAAGAAGATTAATTTAATATAAAAAAAAAAAAAACAAAAAAAAAGTAGAGAAGGAAGAAAAAGAACAATCTATTGTTTCCTGATCATCACGGGCTAATGGGATAGAATGAAAAAATAAATAAATAATGATGTATAGAATAGATAATTTTATATCGTAGCAAAAATATTTAACTCGAAAAAAGAAACCGGTGTTTTCGTCATTTCAAGAGAACAACAAAACAGAATTCTTATTATCATCGACAAAAGATAGTTAAAGCTCGAAATAGAACACAAAATAGAAAAAAAAAAAAAAGACACAAATGAAGACTTTCTTAAGATTTATCAGTTATATTAATACGTAATGACGAATTTGTTGAACGTGGTGGTGGTGCAGTTGAAAGATAAAAATTTCCATTACTTCTTGATTGACGTGCTGGACTTCTAGTAAATATATGAGTTCGTGCTGAATTAAGAACAGGTACAATAACTGAACCATTACTTCTCGATCTTAATGTTGATGAACTATCTGATTCATATATAAAACGTGTTTCAAATGGAGTAACATATTCATGTGCAGTTGATTGATTTAAAACATTTTCAGTACCAATATTAAGTAAAGGTGAATCTCGTATAGATGATACTCGTTGTAGACCATGATGAAGTGAAACTTCAAGATTATTTCCCGTATAATCAAGACCATCACGTTTAGGACGTGTTGGAGATGATTTTGGTTGACGTCGACGTGGTAATGAATCTGGTTGTATAATAATTGGTTGTTGAATAGATATTGAACCACTACGTGGTAATTGTCGAATAAATGATTCGTCAGTATAATCAGGTATACTTCTTTGTTCATTGTCATCTACTGTTGGTGTTGTTTGAATATAACGATCAGCCATAAATGGTTGTGATTCACATTGTGTATAATGATCTAGATAAACAATTAGTTCAGCCATAGTTGATTGATCATGCATTGAAGGTGTTTCGTCGTCTTCTTCTTCTTCTTCTTCATATTCATATCGATCATAGTCTTCTACATAATCATCATAAATTGTTGGTGGCATACAATGAGTTTTCCGTGGACGATCATAGTCTTTAGTTAATGTTGAATATGGTGTAGGATATTTTTGTTGACGATATATTGATGAATCGAATGTTGTTAAACGTTGATTTGTTATTGGTTTTCTTGTTCGTAAACTAGGTGTTGTACCTTTTTCTTGTGTTGATCGTGGTTCATATTGAACACCTGTATGATGTTGTTTTCTCATTGCATCAAGACTGGTATCTGTTTCTTGTGAATGCATTTGTGGTCGATGACGTGGAGTAGCCGAACGTGGTCGATGACTTGGTGAAACATAACGAACACGATGTGAAGGTGTAGGAGTATGAGATCGATGTTGTGGTGATGTTTTACGAGATCGATGGTGTGGTGATAATGATATACGTGATCGATGTGTTGGTATTAGTATATGATCATGAGTTGGTAGAGGAGTAGTATGACGTATTATTGATGGTGGTGGTGGTGGTGGAGAATGAGTATGGCGCTCTTGACAACGACGATAATCTTCTGATGAAATTTGATGATAATGTGATGGTTCTTTATATGGTGTATGATGGTATGGACGATAATGTCCATCATAGATATAATCAACTTTTTGTCGTGGTGGTGGTGGTGGTGATGGTGATGGTGATGGAGACCGACGTTCATTAGGTTCATGAGGTCTTGTATCATATAGATCATAGTATACATCTCTAGGTATATGTTGTGGTCGGTCACATATTCTTGAATCAGGATAAGATTCATCATATATTGGTTCAGGAGGTTCAGGTCGTTCTATAAAAGTATAGGTTGGTTTTGGTGGTTTTTTATGTATTGGAAATGATGTTTGGGTTGATGATGTTTGTGGTTGTACTTCATTACCAAAATTTCGTGTTTCAATTGGATCATGCATTGTACCAATATTTCGTGTTGGTTTTTCTTCAGATTGTGTACTTCCATCAATAAGTTTCGATTTTTTTGGATCAACTGTTGGTTTAGGAATTCGATCAATATTGTCAGACATTGTATCAGAATCGTATTTATCATCGGGTCGATTACCACGATGTGGTCGTGGTGTGTTTGGATATGGTGGACGTCTATTATGACGTTCTCTATCTTTTCTTATTTCATCATCTAAATCAGTTGGTGGTGTTGAAGATGGTCGACGAGGTATCAGATTTGTATCAATAATGTGTGAACCATCACCTGTTTCAGTGGGTTTTGTTGGTGGTTTTGCACCTGTATATGAAAGAAAAACAATGTAAAACTAATTTAATGTTAAGATTTGTAAGAATGGTTGTGTGTCTACACGTACATAACAATGTCTTATCATATGTTTTTTCTTTTCTATGTTGACTGTGTTTTTGTTATTGTTAGCAGTGGTTTTTTTTTTTTCTCTTTTTCTGACATTTTATCATCAAAATACGACACAAACAATATGTTTGGCAAAAGAAATAGAATAATATATCGAAAGAAATCACATAGGAACATAAAAAAGAAGCACAAAAAAAAAAGAAAGTTTAATTAAGATTTTGTTTTTTTTAAGTTTGTCATTTTTTCTTTTTATTCTTTTTTTTATTTGATTTGTCATATTTTTTGCTTGAACGAAATATATTAAAAAAACTTCGATGTGATCGATGACTTTTTTTTGATTTTTTAGATAAACTTGATTCATATTCATTATTATTAATAACATTTTCATATTCGATTGGTTGTATATGAGTAAGTGAATTTGTTTCATGTAATGTTTGCCTTTCTAATGAAGATTCAGGAGTAGATCGATGACTTTGGGCTTTATTATACGAAGTTTGTAATGATTGTTTTGATGATTGATTGTTGTTTATAGTATCCATTGGATAATTAGTAGATTTCTTTACATTCATATAGGAATGAATTGCTGATGATGTACTCTTAGCAGCACGTGTTGAATTTTGATTTGTTAAATAATGATCCATATCATTTTCGTAATCATTTTCATAATTTGTCGCTTCTTTATTAACTCCATATATTTCAGTTTTACTACGAAAACTTTGATTTGTAAGTATTGATTCTCGATTATTTAAATATATTCGTTGGAAAGAAGAACTTCGATTATTCCTCAATGTATTTAACAGTTTTTGAGCTCGCTCAAGACTACTAGTAGATGTTCCAACTTCGATTACTTCTTGAAGAATAACATCAGCTAAGTTATTATTATTATAATTGACGTGAGTAGTGAAAGTTGATGATTTTAACACTGTTGTTGGTTGTTGGATTATTGGTATTGGTTGTTCTACTCTTAGTGCTGGTTGTTCTATTAATGGTGAATTGGATACTGGATTTGGTTCTACACCACGCCCAAACGATATACAGATTGAGTCTTCATTAGACGAGTCTTCTTCGTCATCTGTTGGATAATATTCAGATCCCTGCCCAAAATAATATATACTCTCTGGTTCTGTTGAAAAGTAAGTATATGAATTTGATGGAATTTTCTCATCAAAATTTTCTGAAGTAGATAATGGTGATCGATAAAATTTAGACAATGAATCATTCTGTTGACGAAAACATTCGAATACAACATCATGTAAATTATCATTTGTTGCTGATCGAACAATATTTGAAGATGGCATCATTGTTGATGAAAATTCATTATCAGGAATAGATGATTGATATTGATCATCAATATTATTGTATATTGACGATATATTTGAATTATATTTTTCATTTTGTATAGAATTTGATGATAAAGTACGATTTCGTTGTTGAATAAATTGTTTCATTCTATTTGATGCACGTTCTTGAATTTCCGAACTATTCAATGTACCTTTGTATATATATGATGCTGGTCTATGTTTAGGTTGATAATTATAAACATTATGATTTTCAATTGGTTTTTTAGTTAATATAAAATCTCCCATAATAATAGGATATTTTTCATACGATATTTCAGTACGATCTTGATCAATATCTTCAAAAGATACTTGTTGGTATTGACGATTATGTACTTTATTATTATGATTCGATGAAGATGAATAGAATTGTCTAAGACGATATTTTGATGGTGTTAATGTATGTTCTATTTTTTTATCTGATTGTACTTCATCATCAGTAGATGTCCTTGAAAAACCAGGAGATCCTTGTGTATGTTGTTGTAAATGATATTTTCTTGGTGTTAAATATTTAACTTTATTACTCATTGAATAACCATTAGTTTGACTGTAATAATCACTATCATCATCATCAGTATATTTTGTACGATTATTTTTATGTGTAGTTGATATAGACATTCGATTACGAATAGATTTATTCGGCTGCTGCTGCTGTTTTTATGAAATAACTGAAGAATATAAGTAATAAGAAAAGAGAATTGGATTTTAATTAAGTCAAGCAGATATTGATATTGATGTTTAAAGCCTACTCGAAGATCAATACAATTAGTAGATCAACGACAACAACAACAGCAGCAGCAGCAGCAATAATAATAAACGAGTGCAATTTTTTTCATTTATGATCCATTGCGATAATAAACTTACTCTTTAAAAAAAGAAAAAGAACTCTACCAAGGTTAGTTTAAACAGAGTATACGTATAACATGATAAACGCATCCACACACGCGCGCACAAAGATAGATAACAATAAAGAGAGAAAAAAAAGATGACTATCTCGAAGAACAAATAAACTTACCGACAACTATGTCGTGCCATTGAGTTTGTATATTAGGTGAGTCAACACTTATAACTCGTACTTTATATCGACCAGCTAGAAAGACAAAAAAAATTGTTTGAATTAATTTAATTTAATAGAATACACACGATCTCTTATAACATAATCAGGAAAATCAACTAATGAACGTCCTTGAATTGGTTCAAGATCTCGCATAAGTACTGTTCTTACTTGTGGACTATTTTCAGCTAAAACAAAAGAAGAATATTTTTATGTATATAAATGAAATTATAAATATGTTACGTTTTTCTTCTAATTTAACACGATCTGTTACTGCTTCATCACCAGCAGCACTAAATGTTTGTAATTTTTCACCAGCAATAACAGTCGATTGAGGTGGATTAAACCATTCAAGAAAAGTTAATTTTGGTGCTTAAAAACATATATATATTATTTAAAATCTTAGAATTGTTGTTTTATTGGTTACTTACATCTTAATGATTCTGTTAATCGTATAAATTGAAAATGATCATTAACATCCAAATATCTGTCCTTGAAAAAAAATTAAAAGAAAAATATTTTTAAAATTTTATTTTACATCAAAATTGTAACCAGTTGTCTAGTTCGACTGAGCTAACAAAATAGTCTATGGCATGAAAATCATCATACAAAAGATTCATTCATTTAAACGAACCATCCATCTTTTGGATTACGTTTGTTTTTTCGCGAGAGTACAATGGATTAGAATCAAAAACAGTTAGTTGCTCTTTTTAGGATAAGATCGAATATCTATAATCAGATTGTTCCAAAAAAGTAGATAGACAGAATACTATTTTGATCTACAAAATGTGCTATTTAATCTTGTATGACAGATTTTAAGAATTTTGTACTTTTAAAAGCAGTTTTTGAAACAATGAAACAAAATCTTCCGTGAAAATGCATAGATTAGAGTTCGCTTATTGTAATATCTCATTTTTTTTTCAGAATTCAGTGTTTATAATAGTGCTGAGTTGGGGGGTGTTCCAGGACACAGACTAAGGATAGCGCCAAAACCGCTATTTTTCTATGTACAGACACAGTTTTTGGACTGTCTGGTTTTTACAAAATTTATTGATAATTGTTCAATCTTCAGCCAGAAAGTAGATCTGAACATAGATTCGAAAATAGGAGAACAGTCTGATTTCTACTAACTGCTTCCGATTCTAATCAGTTGTCTTTGAGTGGCTGATAAATGGGCGAATATATTGTCTCAAGACTTTCGCACATTAGTTTATGTCGTTTTCCTTCCTGATAAAACGCCTTTAGAGCAGGCTTTATCAGATAGTCCCTCCCTATTAAAAAAAAACACTTTTCTATGAGATAAACATATAGGATTAACTTCAAGTTTTCTTCAGAATTAAATTATGAGAACAAAATTGCAGCAATCGTTCCTATTACAGTCCGAAGTATAGTTGGAAAGCTACATGATAAGACTTAATGAGAATATTTTTTTGAATGGTCCGTAATATAATCATATGTATGTTACAAAGGTTTTCAAATCAATGTAGAAAAGAAAATGCTCGCACATTATTCTCGATACTGATTTTTGAATACATTATCAAGTTTCAAACATTTTTGTTTTTTGGCATAATTTATTCTAGTGAACCATGGTTTGTTTCTTATTCGATAGATGAATGCATTCGCTTTCGGATGTAGGAAAGAGACTTTGTATTTGACGCTCAATATCAAATTAATTAAAGGTTTTCTAGAAAATGTTGTCTTAGGTTTTTGAAGTTTTAAGGTTTAGAGAACCTTCCAAAATCTCTTCTCTCATTCCAAGCAGTAAAGGAATTTTCTTTCAAATGAGAGTAACTTGAGTGTTATAACTTAAAGTGTATTGAAAAACATTTGCACGTGTACAACTCTTATTTTACATCTTGGCCTCTGGAAATCTCTTAAACAGTTAGGTTTAAAGTCTTGAAAATTTATTTGATTGGTATACTTCGATTGGCCCTAACATCCTAAAAAAGTTTCATAGATATTGAAGATAGGAGCTCTTCTCAAAGTAATGTTGTTTCAAAATACCGTTTTCATCTTTTATTTGTTTTATGTTACTCTGTTTTCTTATTCCGTATACAATACAATCAAAATTATACAAATAGTAAAAGTCTAAGAGAAAACAGAAAAATTATTTATGCTTTTAATCTATCTAACTCGACGATCTACTGGAATTCTGATGTACATATATATCAAAGGCATACTTGGAACCGTACCGGCCGGTCTGCCAGTTACCGATCCGGTCCGATCTAACTTTTCAGACCGACCGGTTTTTTTTTAAATTTTTGGAGACTAAAACTTGCTTATTTTGCTCATTTTTAAGGATTTTCATGGGGTCAATGGTCAAGAGATTTAATTCTGAAAATTTCTCACTGGCAGAATTTCAATCGTATTGGAAATACTAGCTCTAAATATTCACCAACACTTTCTTATCCTTGCATCAGAGGCTCATATTATGGCGAATGAATTCATTATACTCACGACAAGTTAGTTAGACTTTACAAGCTGCTGTCGATTTAAATTCAACATTTTCCTTGAAATTTTGGATCACTCGTATGCAGTAATCTTAGCTGATTTTCATAGAAGCCCAATAGCCACCAGTATTCAAGTTCATGCATTCATAGCAAAATGTTTTGAATAAAACCTTTTCTGTTGTCACGGTCTTTTTAACTAGTAGCATCATGCAACCGCGTTAAAATTTAGGTATCAATAAACCTCAAATAGGAAGTCTAATGTATAAATCTTCCCGATTAGCTCACATTATCTTTCTCTCTACAGTAGCATTTTTCTGTGGAGTGGAATATATTTCAGCAGTGTTAAGAAACTAAGTATTTCAAATAAGAATAGACTAAACCTATCAATGGTAAAGAAATCCTATCATTATTTGAAAAGACTCAAAGAATAGTTATCCGGTGTTCAATCCTAGTTGCTATGAGTCCTAGTCAAAACTTTTTGAAAGAAATCTTCATTAGTTCTGAATATTAGCATACTAAACATGACAGACTAAAAAAGAAGTCGCTGCTATTAGAAGCTTCAAGAATTGTATGAGTTTGATATTATATGTCTTAGTAGAGCTAAACTAACAAACTGTTTCGCGAAAACATCGGTTGTTTGGCTAATACATGAGTGCACTGCTTTTTTTTGTCACATAAATCAAGAATTTGGACCAGCCGTTTTTTCGCCGGTCAAGTCATAAACTTGGACCGGCCGGTCCGGTCAAAAAAGTCAAACTGCCTGGTCCGGTCCGGCCTGAAAAAATCAGACCGGTTCCAAGTCTGATCAACGGTATACTCAATCAGAATCGAAAAAAAATTTATTCGTTATAACTCAATCAAATTAATACTTCAGAAGTTTTCTTTCATATTTATCGAAATGTTTTGAAATTCTCTGAATAATACTTACAGATGAATTTAAAATTTCATCTCGTTTTTCGTCCAATGTTTCTAAATCATTAATACCCTATTTCAGAGAAGAAGAAAAAACAAAAAAAATTCATATCTACTTATCTTAATAATTTAATTCTTACATTAGCTAATAATGTATGAAGACTTCTTTCAAGTCCATATTCACGAAGTAATTCTACTAGACGCATATCAAGTCCATAAAATCCAATACCTTGTATACGAATATCATCACCACCATAATTATCCGTTATAAATACACGAATAAAACGAGTTTTTAACGGTGTAAAAAATATATCATTCTTATTGCCTTCTATAAACATAAAACGAATATAATATTTTCATTAGTAGATCAAAGTACGTACGAGATAATGAACAACTAAAATCTTTAACTTTTAACCAAGGACCATTAAAAGCATTTGAAACATCAATACGACCACTTTTTGGTGTCGATTGATTATCACTAAAAAGAACGAAACATCAAGACTATAATTCTTTTTTTGTTTTTGTTTTCCTACCTTCCAATTATTCTCATTCCACTAATATTATATTGATGTTTTAAATCAAAAATAACCCAAGCACCTTTATTCTGTGTACAACACCAATATGATCCACTTGAAGCTAGAAAATTTTTGTTATAAAAAATAAAACTAAACATAGAAAAAAGAACAAACAAACGAAAATTGTTCTTACTATCAAGAAGATTTTGTACAGATGAATTTGCATCCGTTTGACTTCGAAATTCTTCACTATCTAATGTCCAATTTGGATGACTGCGAAGTAATGGATGAACATATGGTATAACATTTGCTTAAAAAAAGAACAAATTTAAACTATCAAATTCATTAACACTAAAACTAAAATTAAACCCGAAAAAAAACAATAATAAAACAAAACAAAAAACGGTTATAAACATGCAATATGAGTAGCAATAGCAGTGATAACAACGAAAACAAAATAAAAATCATATATATAATCAGTGCAAATACTACAAAACAAAATGCCATGCTGATACATCAGTGTAGAACACTTACTGATCAAAATACGTGTTTATAAAGGCTAAAAGTCAGATTTGTTAGTTTGATTTTTTAAATCACACAAACACACAAATGAAAAATTTTTTGATAAAAAAAAACAAAATAAATTATACCTTGAATTGTTCCACTTGTATATCGATGAAAATCAGATGGTTCTGCTCTTGGTGTATCTAAATAAAATAAAAGAACAAAACAATACTTATTAATTTGTTTTCTATGTTGAAACTTAACAAAATCAATTTTCTTGTATGAAGAAGAAGAAACGAAAGATCGTGATAGATATATATTCAAGGATGTGACAATCAGCCAAGAAAAAAAAAATTAAAAAAAGAAGCAGAAGTTCAAACACTTATATTCATGTTTTTTTTTTTTTTTTGCACACCTCCATTTATTGTTGATATTGTGCCTGTAGTTGTATTTAGATTTCGCATTGTTACCGATGAAGGTATGGTTTTTGTAGGTAATTTTCCTCTCTTTCTCTCTTCATTCATATTAAATGCTATAGATAAGATTAATTAGGATGAGGGATATATTATTATTATTGTTTTTTTTTTTAGTCTTATTGTCTAAAAAAGTCTTGAAAAATATACTTACGAAGAAGTACATTGCTAAATGATTGTTTTTGATCAGGTTGTAAATATTCAGCTATACTTAATGGTGTTTCACCACGATTATTTGCTATATTTGGATCAGCACCATGAGACACCAAAATACGAGCAGCAGATAATTTTAATGAACGAACTCTGATAAAGAAATAAAAAACAAAATTATTTAATTAAACATTTCTTTTTTTTGTTTAACATACGCAACATGAAGTGGTGTTGTACGTGTTCGATCGGTTATATTTGGATCCATGCCAAAATCAAGTAATATTTGCAAGCATTTATCGTGACCTGAGAAAAAGTTAGGAGAAATATTGAATAGAAAAAAAAAAGAGTTCGTTAGCGCAGTTTTTTTTTTTGTGATTGAAATGTTTCATATCGTTTAAACCGCAATTAACCGTTCGTAGAAGTGTCTCGAAGTCACTAAGATTGGAAGAAGGAGATACAACTATGGAAAAGATAGGATTCATGACATTGGAAAGTCAACTATTGTTGCGAAGATTGATGAGGGAAAAAATTGTTCGACGTCGCTGAGAAAAACAGCAAACTTCAAAAACAAAGTCTTGCAGAATAAACTTTTTCGTGCTCCGATTATTATTGACTGAGAGGTGTCTGACTGCATAAAGTGCGGTAGCCGACTTGTTGTTTTTCCGCTCACTTAGTTGCTATGACGGATTTTTCTTTTTCTTCTTTACGCATTAGTCATGGCTCAAACCACTCACTCATTCTTCACACCTAACCACTATTAGGAAATGAAAAACAGTTCCCCGAAATCGTAAAAATATAATGAGTAGGCATGTAAAATTCATTTTTTAAAAAAATCGGTTTCGTTCGGAAGTTTTAAAAATCGAGAAAACGATAATTAACAGTTGAGAATTTCATTATATGTCAATAGTTGGTTTAAATGCATTATCTCTTAACTATTCACCTAAGTCAAGATAGTTGAACGTAACTGAAATTTATTATGATTTCCTCTACGGAATTGTAAGATCGAGAAATAACAGATTTCGTATTGAATCGCACTGTGAAATTTGCCGAGCTCGTACAGTCAACCATTTCTTCTACTCGGACTTTGCTGAAGTGGCAGTTTAGTTCTTTGTCTGTGCTCTTTTCTGTCACCTATTTGAATGTTATGATTGTTAGAAAGGAAAAAATAAAAATGTAGAATATGTTTTGATATAAGGATTAAAAAGTTTGGGACATTAGTTTTTTTTCTAATTTGTTTCAAATCCTATTCGTCCTATTACAGAACTCTACTCAGAAAACTTCAACACTGAACTCTCAACTGTCTTCTGCTTGGTAGCCGTTTCCCCTCTCCGCTTGGAACATCTCTGACCTTCGATGCACTGTGGTTCTTCTACTTCATATTTTTTGTTATATCTCACTGCATGAATATGTTTAAACTCTAAGAAAAGTGTTAGGTTTTAGTCGAAATCGAGCTTTTTTTGTCTAAGTGAACGCACTCAAGCTATCGCTATCGGTCACATTGGCTTATTTCGCTAAGTTTTCGAGTTTGATGATATATTAATGATGGCGCCATCTGACAAAATATGTTGCAGCTTATTTTGATTGACTTTTTGAGTAGAAATCGATCTTTTCAAAGTAAAAAATATCATTTAAATAGAAAAAGTATATAATTTAATAGAAATCTTCTTTGTTATGTAATGATATATACTTTGATCCACATGACGGATAAAATATCAATTTTTTTTAACATCATTTTCAATATGATGGTGTATCCGGTTCATCGTTTTGGTCGGAGACAAAAAAAACAAGTTTACAGAAAAGAAAATGTCATAACTAAACTACTATTTCACTTGAGAGTTAGCCGTATTTTTAATTTTTTCTCAGAAAAAATTTCTTATTTTTGATCAACATTGTTTGCTATGCAAATCTCTTATTTTTGCCTGTGTAACTATGATTAATAGCAGTATTAAAATGATTGATTTATACTTGCGGTTGCTTTGGAAGAATGCTAAAATGATCTTTAACTCCGATTACTAAGTTCAGCAATCGAACGAAGGAAAAGGAAACCATAATAAGTTTGACTTAAAACTTACACTCAATATTTTCTTCGAAAATGTATTGTAAAGTTCACAGAAAAAAAAAAACTCACCAAAACGTGCGGCAATCATTCCTGCTCGATGGGCTCGTTGTACTAATGTTCGATCATGAGAAAGCAAAGCACCAACAATTTCTATTAAATAGAAAAATGAATAAATATACTTAACATTTTAAGTTCTATACCTGGCTTATTAGCCATAACAGCTTCATCAAGTGGTATTCGTTGATTGCGATCTTCTAATGTTGGATCAGCTCCAGCCTTAATAATGAATAATTAAATATACATATTCTAATAAGATTAACAAAAGATAAGATCTATAGAGATCTTCGAATTTTATTTGTTTGTTGCTGAAAAAATGTTTTTCTATATATAAATATCATTTAATAAGTCAATAGGATGTCAAAATGTAGAAATTATTCTAACAGAACGTCTTCAATGAGACAGAATATAAAGACCAAGACATAATTATGATGCTTTTCATCGCCTATAATTTTCTTTATTTCGATCAAGTGAGTAATGAAATGTTACAATGTTTACTTGAATATATAATACAAGAGAGCCCGTCGGGTAAAATCTAGCTTCGGAACTATCTCAACGGGCCATACCTTAAATCTAATAACCAATGAAAGCGTGAATATTATAAAATTATTACTAACATTATCTAAGAAATTTATAGTAGAATACAAATTATTGATAAAAAGTATCTCACATCTTTCGAGCAATTATCAAACTTATGCGAGAATGTTTGGAACTGATCAATCGCTTTTTCATGGAAAGCTAATGAATTGTAGGTTATTAATTATGTTAATTTCCAATATCACAATGAGAATTTCTTCTTAGATCTTCATATATTGGTTTTCTAAACTAAGAAACTTTTTTTTTCCTAAAAAGCAATTTTTGATTTCTACATCAGATTTCAAAGTGAGATTATTTTACTTAAAATTCATTTTTGGCAAATAGAAGATTTTATTGTCTCATAAACAAATCGATATGCTTTATAATCAAAAATTGGTTCGTCTAGAAAACTATCATATAAAGATCTAAAGGCGCTTTCACATGATTGATAATTCGAGTTCGAATAGCTTATTGTAAAAAGGCAATTGATTATTTGAAAATGTTCTATTGTTAGACTAAAGAATTTCGTTGAAATTAAGATTACTGTTCGGATCCAAGTCCAAAAATTATAAGAACAATATTTTATTTTTTTTTTCGTAGAATATCCAGCATTCAGCTTAAATTCGAATAGTGGTTTGAACAGGCAATGAAATTCTCTATGAAATGAATTTCATAGATCGGCTGCTAGTAAAAGGTTTCACGAAAACCAGTGGTTTTCAAGTTATAAAAGACATTGAGAAAATTAATTTTTGACATTAACTTCTTAAAGAACACATTGTTCTGATAAAATAAGAGATTACTGTTCCTATGACCTTGTCATAGAGAGTTACAAGCATTACAAAAATGCTTCTGGCAAGTCAACTTTTAATCATTTTTTTTTAAAATTCATTTCGCTTGTTTTTGTTTTTTTTTTCTGCCATGCGCTTGTAAATTTTTATGGGAAAATCATAGAAAACTTGGAGATTCTTCATTTTATTCAAAATTTAATACTCTTTAACACGTTACTCTTAAATATTAAGTCCACTGTCACATGAAAATTGTCGTTTTGAATGTTTTTTTTAATAGAAATTTTGCATCCATAGTGTATCTATGAAATTTTCGAATGGCTTGATACTTTAGGAACAAATTAAAATATACGTTTTTCTGATAATTTTTGTTGCTATAGTTAGTACTAAGATTCTATTCTTTTCTATTTTAACATCTAAGTAATAATCATTCTATTTGACTTTCTGAAAAAAACATATCGAATATATTCTATTGAATAAACTTCATTTATATAGCATGAAACATTTCACAATAAGAAATTTTCAATGTTCAGAACTTTATTCTCTATTCGAAATTTATTATTCATGATTGCATTTAATAATAGTAAATATTCAATTGAGAATGTTATATATTACAATATAAGAACTATTGCTTCTCAATTCGATATATATAATAATAATCGATTCTACGCAATATACCAATATAATTATTATTGACGTAATAAGTCTCGTCTTATTAAAAAAAAAAATAATTTACTAAATTACTTCAAATTTACTTACAAGAAGTAATGCTCGAACATGATTTGCGTTTTCATCAATATATGAAACAGCAGCACGATGTAAGGCTGTTTTGCCTGATTGATTATATATATTTGGATTAGCATGATATCTCAAAAGTAAATCAACGATATGATATTTTTGACGATGAACAGCCAAATTCAAAGCCGTATCACTTTAAGAACAAAAAAAAAAAAGAGAAATAATATTCAATCATACAGCACCGAACAACAGTAGTTGCCTCTCATGAAGTACTACTATTCTTTATGATCCTTGATCGCAAGGACTAATCCACCTTCCATAAGTTGACATATACCAAAGTTATGATTCAAATATAATCTTCGTCTTGTGATCATCTTTATCTTAATCATGTTGGCGCAAACATTTTTATCTAAACTCTCATACACCATGTCATTGTCGCAGCTATATATAGTCCGACTTTGATTAGAGATCCCTTTACAATAATTAAGATATTGTCTTTTCATTACGAATATCTGTTGAAGAGCAAATTTTAGTAAAAAATTTTTCTAAGACGACATATTTCTTCTAAAATTCTTCGAGTGGGGGTACCAAATGAAGTCGAGTTAGTACTACGGCATGGATTCACCATCTCAGAGCGTGTTAATTACTAAGTTTGACAACTGTTTTGAACACTAGAAAAAAAATCTTTGCAATAGTTTGTAAAAAAAAAATCGAATGACAAACAATACATATGTTCTCTGAATATGTTTTTCCTAAGGGAAAAAGAACATATATGAATCATAACTCCAGTACATATAAATAGATGAAGGACAAGTTGATACTTGTGATTAGGGTTTATTGTTGCTCACTTGTATTCAAAATATCAGTCAATATCACAAAGAATAGTAACATTTCATAAGGGGCGACTACTTTTGTTCAAGACTGTATATGCAAAAGTTTTACACATACAAAAAAAAAAAAAGAAAAACAAATTTTCTTAACTAACCCTGTTGAACATTGTTTATTTGGATTGGCGCCATGTACAAGAAGAATTTTTGTTTTTTCATAAGAACCTTTACCAGCAGCAATAATTAATGGTGTAACATTATAACGTGTTGCTGTACAATCAATAAAATCGATTTGATCATCAATAACTCCATCATATGCCATAACTTCTACAAGATTTCGAAATGGTCTTCGATGATATTGTTGTAAAAAGCTCTGACATAAAATAAAAAGAATGTTTGTTTGTCATTTTATTAATCATACAAGAAAAATAAATAAATATAACTTACAAATAATTGTTCTGAACTGCCTCGGTCCACGATGGTCAACAGTTGCTGACGCCGCTGTTGATCCTCGTGCCGATACTCCATTATAATATTATCTAAAACAACAAGACAGAAATTATATCTTTTATTTTACTTTATGAATAACAGTATGTAGATGTCTATAGAATAATTTTAACAAAGATAAACGTGGAAGAAGTTTTATGAAAAGTGGTAACATCGACCTATCACCATTAGCATTTATCATTAAAGTTAAATAATAAATTAAACGTTGCTAATCAAATACGAAAAGAAAAAAAAACAAATCAATTAATTAAAATCAAATCAAATATAATAGAATACATACTGAAAGAAAACCTTCATTTATTAAAATATCTTTTATTCGATTTGAACTAATAAAAATTGTTGTTTGTCTTCCAATTACATAAGTTGTTGTCAATTGTAAACCCATTTGATCTCCAACAATAACACATTCTATTTTCAAAAAAAAAAAAAAAAAGAAAAAAAAACACATCCATCATATTTAATCAATAAAATAGATTTGAAAATAAAATTTCATACCACGTTTTACTTTTAAATAAGCTTTTATTATCACACCTATTAATAAAATAATCGATAAGAATAATAATAAACTGCTATCCTAAAATAGAACATTTTTGTTTTGTAAATAATGAAAGAAAAATATTTCGATTTTTTTTTTTTTTTCTTTTTACATTTTTATGAACTCCAATAAGAGCAGCTAAATAAGTTAAAATAATTGTTGAACCAAGCCATTTTTGTAGATGTACAATACGTCGTTCTAATCGACATTCCGTAATTAAATTATTTTCGTGTTGTATTATTTCATAATCAAGTAATTCACCATAAATATTTTCACATGTTCCACCATTGAATTTCATCTAGAAAATCAGTCATACATTTGTTATTATTGTTGTTGTTTCTTCTTTTTTTTTCTTTAATTCTCTTTTCGATTTCTATAGGATAGGTATATTTTTTAAAGGTGAAGAAATCCCAAATTTTATTTTTCTTGTCCTTTTTTAAATCAAAATTTTATTTTTTTAGAAAAGAAAAAAAGGTTCTTTTTTTCTAGACATAGTCAAGCTTATATTCAAGCAAATTCGAATACACTTTGTTTTAGCAAAATAAAAGAAAGGAATATTTTAAGTATAGATTCTTTTATTCTACCATGTGATAATTGATTAACCACCATTCAATACACATAAATAGCTTTTTATGAAGATCTATAGGTTATTCGAATGTCAGAAAGTGAAGAAGAAAAAGAAAATGAGTAGTTCGATTTGTTAAAATAAAATTTTCTTTTATTCTTAGTTCTCGATATTAAGACTTAATTTTCTAATTCATCTTAAACTCAAAGACTTATCCATACTTCATATATATCAAAATCAACCACATACAAGGCTTCTTAAATAGTATTGGCAAGTAAAAACAAGATTTATTCATCTTACCGATATACTAATAAAACTGCTTACTACTTATATCAAAAACTTAATATGATATGAAAAAGTAAATTTCTAGTTATTCATTTAACTATGAGAATCGGGATATTGAGTCAAGAAAAAAAAACTAAAACACCTACTATATTTACTAATACAAATACATATCAAACTAAATCCATTATCTCAAGTAGGCAAATCTAATCGTATTAATTTCGTAGGAGATCAAGTAATTTTTCCACGACCACGAATCATTTTCAAATAAATGATTCAATTGGAATGTTATGTCAAAATTTTTATTTGCGTAGGAGTGTGGTTAGAGGAAAAAACCGCAGATGATTTATGCTACCTGAATTGATTCAATACTTGTTAAAACATCTACGATCGTTTTAATTTCTTATAGAATATAAAAAAAAAGACCTTCATTTAAGTAATCTCATTGTCAATTTGACAGGATTTGGTTTTATACAACTACTATGTACTATTATTTTTCTCTTATCTCAACACTCAACTTTGAAAATGTTTATTACACTTTAAGAAAGAAATAAATAAAAAAAAAGTCTTAGTAAAAGAAAATTTCTTAATGATTGATGAATAAAAGAATATTCAAAATAGTCAATTTTATAAGAAATATAGTTGAACGAAACACAATAAAAAAAAACTCAAGAAAGGAAAACCTAACAAACGTAAACTGATGGAGACCGAATGTAAAAAAAACAGCTTTTTTTTCATAATGAGGCACATTTACTGTTGACACGACTAAGTTGTAATAACAACAGAAAGAAAAAAAAGAACAACAATAACAAACTGACCGTAGATTATATCTTGTATAATTGTTGTAAATCGACATTGTATTGTCAAAAAAAAATGAAAATTGATATTTGTTATTTTCGGACATAAAATCTATTCTTCTGTATTTTCTTCACCTTGTCATAACAGATCCAATTTCGAAGGTCGCTTACACCTCCTTTCCGCCCTCTCTCTCTCTCTCTCTCTCTCTCTCTCTCTTTGTCGGTTTTTTTCTCTTTTCATAATATGTACAATTTTGCGGTTTGTCCCTCATCAGGTTTTTTTTACGCACACTCGCGCTCACATCGCTTTAGGCAGGAAAAAGAAAAGCCGTGTTACTTTTACTTCTGCTTCTCTACTCTTTTCTTTTCTTTTCTGCTTCCTTTCAACATTCTTTTCTCGATAACGACGATGGCAATGAAAAGCAAAAAAAAAAGAAGAAAAAAAAAATCCACCAAATTTCAAGTTCTGTCATTCAGTAACGAATGGTTGACTGCTTAGCTCACGGCAGCAGAATGACGATGATGGATAAACGTCGAACAAACGAGTTGGCTGATACACAAAGTCAACATATCTCGAAATGGTAAATAGAAGAAAGAAAAAAAGCCCAAAGTAAGAGCGAAACAGATTTGTCAACTTACTTTACAAAAGCGAATAGTAAAAGAAAAAGAGAGAGAAGAAAGATCTCTGTGTGGTTTCAATTTACAATTAAGCTTGCTTTACTTTACTGTCATTGATTGATGAAGGCGACAACTTCGTTTTTCTTTTTTTTCTTTTTTTAGAAGAAAAACGAAAAAAGAAAAATCTTCAAGTATAAAGAACAAAAAATATCTCTCGTTTACTCAATACTTATGTTATTCGATTTAATCTCTCATTTAAATCGTTAACCACATACATAAACATGTTTCGTGTTCGTTTTTCATATCTACATCTTAAATGAAATATTCAAATCAATATTTGACAAAATATAAGCATCATGTCTAACTTATATAAATATCAAAAAGAGAAAAATGATCAGTTGTTTATCTTTTAGTGAAATACATAACAATAACAACAAAAAATACAGAAAAAAAAACAAGAGAGACAATTATGTATTCAATCCATATTTAGCTTGTGTTTTGGCTAATTTTTCTTTTTCTTTGTCTAAATTGATTTTATCAAATGCTTTTGTTGCTTGATAATAAAGTACAACTAAATAACGATTACAAACATTAAAACCAGATAAATGATCACATGCATTTTTTGCATCAAATATATCTTCATAAACAACAAATGCAGTACCTATAAAAAAAAAACGACAAAACGTTATAAAGATAAGAAAATTTTTCAGAAGACAAAAATAAAAACTTTGTCTACCTCGTGTATCAGGTGTATTTCCAACACGAATTTGACGTATAGCTCCATATTTACCAAATATATCGTACATTTCTTCTGCTGAAATTTTATATGGAAGATTGCGTACGTATAATACACGATTTATTTCAGGTGGTAAACGAAGATTAGCTCGTTTTTGCATGGCCATTTTGATGATTCAAACAAAAAATAAAACAAGCTATACGATATCAATATCTAAAAATATTATTCTTATAAACAATATTTTAAGTTAAATTAAAGTCAAGAACTTTCAAAAAAAAAAAAAAACAAGGCAATAAATTTTCTAGATATTCACATAAAAGTCATAAAATAACGATAAATGTAATAAATAATGAAAACATCTTTTGGTTTTTTTCCCTATCATCAATCAAATTTTGACTTTGATAAGTTTATATATTAATAATAAATACCTGAAATTCTTGTTTCGAACTTAAGTTTGATAACGTTTTTTAAACTATGATCAAATATTTTATGTTTTGTGCAACAACTCAAAAACAGATATCATTATCGTACGGAGTCATATATCAAACAACAAAGAATATAAATGTTGAAAGGTTGTATACAGAAGGAAGGTCGTTAAGTGATAAAATTGATCTGTTCTTGGAATTGACATTCTTACTTTTCTAATAGACAATTTAAATCAAATAGTTAAATCTAATTGTGAATGTGTGTAATTGACTTAAAATTCGATATTATCGATCTTTGATAATGTGTTCGTATGGAACGTTTTTTCTTTCGCCTTCAGCTCTATACATTTCAAGTATATGTCAAATGAAAATTCTTTCTCTTGTTTATCGAATGGCCTATAGAAATATATGACAAAATATTGTTGTTGTTCTTGTTTATTTCGATGACATTATTCGTTTGTATATATAATATGAGGACACCCCATGACGAAATTCTCTCTTTAATGTATATCAAAAATAGTAATCCATTTTGAATATTAAATCATTTGATATCCTTTTCAAGGCTGTACACAGTGTTTATAAGCGCCAAAACATATTATTTTCAACTGATATTTGACTAATTTTACTCAGAATAGTTAAACTTTCTCATAAGAAAAAAAAAAAATAATATATATGAAATCAATATTAAAAATTTTGAGTCGATTTTTCAACAAGTTTTATTTTCATTTCAAAAATTCAGATTCATTTTTTACTCAGAGTTCAATCAAAAATTCATTTCTCAATCTTTTAAAAACTAGAAAATTTTTAAAAGATAGATGAATAAATAATAAAAATTATATTTTGATTAATTTTATTTTTTAACATAACTAAGTTAGATTTTTATGTTGATTGCAAAAATATCATTTTTGTTTAAAAATCTAACTATTTTGACTAAAATCAGTTGAAATGAATATTTTTTTTTTCATGCTCACAAACAATCTTATCATTTTGTTGAGATTCATAACATCTATCAATGGTTCTACTATTCAAATCGAATTACTATTTCAAAGTACATTAGAGAAAGAATTTCGTTATGGGCGAAAAGAACAAGAATAACATTTTACCATACTTCTACATATTATTTGACAGAAGAACGAAAGAACTTTTATTTGACATATATAATTCAAACAAAAAAGAGCTGAATACGAGAGAATAATATCAATCTTTGAATAAGCCATGTGCAGCCGAAATCAGATTTAATAATCTAATTTGAACTTCAATGGATGCCTACTTTCTCAATTTGATTATTAGGAAAATAAGAAATTGAATTGTGAGAAAACATCAATTTCATTGCTTTATGGCTCCTATCTTTTAATAATCGTTTAGAATATATTTGTCAAACAATTATTATGAATTCTTTCATTGAGAATAGTTTTCAAAATAGAAAAACTAATAATAGCGATAAAAGTAAGCATGTACTATGAGTTTGTTTTTTAGAAGAGGAAGACGAAAATCATGAAGAAAAGAAAGGTATTTTTTGGCTTGTGAAGACTAATCAATCAGCATCGTGCCTCCTGGTGTTTAAATCTTTGCAGGAGAGATCGAGGCCTCCTCTGAGTATGTCTATCATAAGAAGTTCGTTCTTTACAATGATGTTGTTTTCTCCAAGTATATTTGACATACATTTTTGTATCATGCTTAAAGTAGAATAAAGAAAACAAAAAAATTAATTAGCATATGTCAGAGATAGAATCAGTTCGTTTGAAACCCATACTGATTGTCCGACGTGACATTCATTGTTCGAGCTCATATTAAACCTACAGATTGATGTCTATGAGAATAATAAAAGCCTAACAGAATTTAGTCGTTATTGGCATTCCGCACTGAGTTATGACTGGTTTTTGACCTATTTTTAAGTACTCCTCGAAAGACTACATAAGGATATTTTGATCCAAAAATCTTGTCTATACAAGTCTAATGACTATGATAATATCGTGAAAGTTTCAGTTAAAAAAAAAGTTTATTAGACCTATCTATAGACAAAATTTTATCATTTGACTTTTTGAGAACTACTTACAAATGATTCGAAAATCAAGTGAACCGATCATAACTCGACGACAAAGACTCATAGAAATAGTCTCTTTTGGGCTTTTGCTAGTCTTATCAAAACATTTTAGTTTCAATATATTTATTCCACACTGCGTGGAAAGAGAACGAAAAAAAGGAAGACTATCGTTGGTAAGTATTCTTAGAACAATACAGTCAACGCGTACTCTCCTAACATCTGGGTATAATGTCTCATAGTTTTATTTTTTCTAAAGAATACGACCTGTCACTGACAACAACTAATCATTTCAATAATTGAAACAAAAAAAAGAAAATTATATTGTTTTTAGTCATACTTATTCCAGTGAATTGTTTATATGTAAGTTTAATTAGTATAAATGGAATTTGTACACGATGAAATCTACCACTAGTATTGCTATTAGTCTCAAACTAACTTCATTGGATATGATTGTCTTGCAAATAAATAGTTGATAGAAAAATAGTACTTACATACGTGTTCTATTTCGAAAAATGTTTTAGATCTTATTAAGAAAATAAAATGCTTTCTCAGAGAACAAATCCCAAGGTGAAGAAACCTTTTACTTAATATGTTACTATTATATAAAGATCTTTTCATGTATTACACACACTGCATTTATTAGATTCTGTGACTACTATAAGAACGTTTTGTTTTTCCATATAGAAAACTTAAAGAATTTTTTCAGATTAAGCTTCAAAAGATCACTAAAATGACTTCACGACATGTTGTCAAAAAGAAATACATTCTTTAATAAGGAATTATGTCTCAAGATTTTTTTTAACTTGGCATTGACACGTTGTTATGAACACGGAAGCAAAATGTTCTTTCATACTGAATTTAGATGTCATTACGAACTTAAATATAAAAGAAAATCGGTTTTCTAAGTAGGACCTTCTAAAATTTCGAAGGCTTTAGTTCTCTTGTAAGAGGAAAAAATAATTAATAATCAGTACCATCTCTCTGACATATTTGATATTTAAACAAATTAGAAAGTTTAATTTGTTATAAAATTTCGTGGTCAACTGAAATTACTATACATAAATATGATTAGATCTATTTGATAAAGTTAGTAATCTTACTAATAAAATACCGTAATTTATATATTACCACATGAAATTATCCAATTGATTTATTGAATTAAGTAATCATATAATAATATGTTTTTGTATTGACAATAATTTCAATAGTTGTCAATCATATCGAATTATAATATATATTTTAATAAGTATAAAAAAAAAATAATATTTTTTTGAAAATTTCTATAAAATAGATCTTGAAAAACATTTAAAATTCTTCTTCATTGTTTTTATATTTAAACATATCTCAATAACCAATTCAAATATATTTGTCAATCCTCTCATTTAAATATCATAGATATTGTAGTGACATCTATATAAATATTTCATTTTTTTTTATTATAGATTATTATTAAAAACTAAATAAAAAATAAGAAAAATTTTGCTTATTAAATCTTTTATATTTTCTAATCATTTGTTGTTTTCTTAACCAATTCTAATCTATAGAATCTTAAAAAGCAAACAATATGGCGATACGATGGAAGTAGTATACTTCTAAAGAAAAAAAAAAAGAAAAACATAATCTAGAAAAAAGCAAAAAAAAAAACAACAGAAACACAAATGTTTGATTTAAATTTAAAAATTTCTTTCGAATGAAGTTCTCATTTATTGAACAACTATTTTCTTTAATAATCCGTCGATTAAACGACGATATAAATGTCTCGAACCGAATCATCGAATATTAATCATTGTGTGGCTCCATCAATAACTTCTCCTGTGAATAGTTTAACTAAAGATTCAATTCAACGTAGTGATGAAATTAAAACAGAATTTACTTCACGTGAAGGTACATATAAAATATCATCATTAATTGATAATCTTGGTAAAATTGGTACAAATACATGTCTTAATGAACCAGTTAAAATAACATTATTATCTCGTATACAAACTATTTGTGATACAAATAGTCAAACAAGTTCAAGACGTTCATCATCAACAAATCATAATGATAATTCAAATGAACAAAAACGTTTATCATTAACCAATGGAAATGAATTAAATCAACCAAATGGAAGTATATTTCTAACAGATATTTTAGTATTTAATGTTGGAAGAGAATTGATTATTTATGAATTTGCTGAAGCTACGCAGGTATTTATTTTTCAATACTTGAATATTAGTTTTGTTCTTTTTACTTCTATATAAAAATATGTAAGATAATTTTATTAATTGTTTTTTTAAACTCTGTATTAACAAAGTCAATGATGAATATATATCGTTTATGGCAAGAATAAAAAAAAAAAAAAAAATTAACTCGATTATGATATTAACATATTACTAAAGAATCAATATGTTGTCCATCATGAGGATGATGTGTCTCTAGAAATTGAATTCACTCTTCCGAAAGTATCTGTTGTTGCTCTCGAACTTCCGAATGATCCTTCCGGAAAAGAAAACTTAAATACAAAAAACATTGAAAATTTCACATATCATATAATGAAAACCTAATGTTAACATGAGTATTTTTTAATTAAACATCAAACAATATTTCATTCGAACTTTATTGTCATATTGTTATTATGATCAGCTCTTTCTCAATGTATTACCATAGTAATAGACAAAAAAAAAGAAAATGCCAAGAAATTAGAACATATCGTTGATTGTAGAGATTTCTGATACGAGCTATAATTTCTCAGCACTTTCTATCAGTAACGTATCCAGGATTTTTCAGTATGCTGAATCTCGACTTCCGAGTGTGGGACCCAGATGAAACTCATGGAGGGTGATGCTGGGTCCAAATGATGAAATTTTATCAAAAAAAANACTGTGAGCGAAAAACGCTCATTTTTCGCCCTTTTTGAGCGTTTAAACACGGTTTCGGACAAATAACGCGTTTACACGCATACAAAAAAGAGAAAAAAAAGTTGTTGTGTTTTTCCAGTTCAAGAAGCGTGGCTGTAATCATGATCTTGCATCCCGAGCAGAGATTTCATCGCGGCGCGGGAGATTTTTTAGCAATATAGTCATGGGAGCGGCACCTTATTTCTGGAAGACATTGCAAAAACTGCATGAATTTGCACAAAAATTGAGTGTCCACAGACGTAACATTCTAAGACTCAATGAATCTCATTGATTAGTGACAAGAATTGTATTTCAATAAATTCACAGTAATGAAATTTGAAACTTTTTTCGAGTACCATCGCGGCAGCGGCACTATTTTTGGAAATTCATCGTGGCGCAGCAGCACCGCTGCAGATTTTCTCTCCAATCTCCGCGACACGGCAGCGGCAGATTTCGAGCCGCGATGGGCATCTCTGATCCCGAGTATGAAAAAACGACCACCTTTTGCTGATTTTAGGCCAATTTCTGTAGGTTTAAACGCGTTTTCTCAAAACTTTGTCTGCTTGGGTTAGGGGCTCGGCTCATCGAAAATAGTTTATTGTGAAAGTTTCAGATATTTTGATTTGATGTTCTTTTCTCAGAGAATGAGCAAATTAAAAGATCGGAACCTTTCACAATAACGTATTCTTGTTAATATATGTCTCTATGCAAAGCCCATAATATTCTAACTAATATTTTTCTAAACTTACGATTGTTAGAGGTGATTGTTGATAAATACTATTCAAAAGTTTATTATTCACATTTGATGAACGTATTGGAATATCATAATGCGGTCGAAAAGTTTTTAAAACTTTTAAAATTCTTTGCATATGTTCATGATTTAAACAATCAAGATTAAATATATCGACAACACGAAATCCCTTAATAAAAAAAAAACAAACACCAAAAAATGAATCTTAATTCAAATAATATTTTCGTTTTTACTATACTTCTTTTTCAAGATCAATTATAATTCTTCGAGCAATACTTGAATCAAATAAATCCATATTACCAAGACAACTTAAAGCTGCTGCATAAGATTCAAGAATTGGTTTTACATTATATTTACGCATTTTTTCAAATAATTTTTGTAATTCTATAAGATTACCCTATAGAATAAAAATAAAATTAATGAATAAATAAATAAATAATTAAAATTATTTTAATAATAACTTTATCTGCATAAGCAAAATAAAATGCATTAAAAACATGTACATTTGTTACATAACGCCAACTAAGTTGTTTCATTGTTTGTCGTCTTTCATGATCAGCTAATAATTCCTCAAGTAATTGATGAGCTTGATTTAACTAAATTAAAACAAAAGAAAATTATTTCAAAAAACAAATCAAACAAACTTTTCCATTAAATATTAATACATCTACATAAGCTTGTAACATATAATTAAATTCATTATGTGTATGCATAAATTTAATTTGGTCATCTGTATATTTATGTAAACGACGAACTTTAGTTGAATGTAAACTACTTAATAAATCATTTAATGTTTTATCATCATCATTAAATGTCATTTCTTCTAGAGATGGTGAAAGTAATGTTTCATCGGATTGTATATCTTCTTGTTCTTCAGCTATTAGATTTTCTTCATATAAATTAGAAGATATTGTTGTTGGTTGATTTCCATCAATAGATGTAGTACGAGTTAGTTTTTTACTTAATTCATTTATTCGATTTGGTGGAGTTGGTAGAAGAGCAGGAGTAACTGAAAAAATAAATAAGAGTTTACTCAATATATTCGGTGTTGAGAAAAAACTCAAGATAAACTTTTTAAGTTTCGCATAAAAAAAAATGATCTTAGACCAGGTGTACTCAAATCGTATGAAAGGACGAAAGTGAATGAAGTCATTTCTTGGTCTCATAATAAAAATCTTCTGATCAACTCTATGAAAAGTAACAGAGAACTTTTTTCTTCCAACATAAGTTATAGAAAAGATTAATCGTAGAAGAATATTCTCTGCTAAAGTTAAATTTAATAAAAATACTAAATAAACAAAGAAGATTGCTGATCTATATGACATTTGGTAGAGAATACTTCGGAGCTGTATGATCAGTGGAACAAAAAAAATTTGAGTTTCATGTCTGGAATATTATACTCACTTTTTTTTTCTTTCTTCTTTTTTTCTTTTGTTTTACTGGCTTTTGGTCGAGCTAATTCAATAGGCTTTAAAAGAAAAATATTCATATAATAATTCTAATTGATTTTCAAAAAAACAAAAATTTACTTCTTCTTTTTTAATCGGATTTGATTCAATATCAACATTGTTTTGAGTTTTTCGTTTCGTATTAGATCGCTGTCGAATATTAGTCTTAGTAATTGATCGATCTGATGATGGAGAAGATTTTCGAGATGAACGAGTAGTTTTACTAAAAGATTGTAATTGCGATGAACGATGATTAAGTACTAAGAAAATTTGATATAAATTTTCAATTAAACAGGACAAAAGAAGAAAATCTACCCTCGAGTAGTTCATAATGTGGTGCAGCTATTTCAAAACGATGATTATATTCATCAATATCATGATGTATTGGTAATGTTTCTGCAGACAATGGACGATATAATACTGAATATAAATAAGAAAAAGTTTTCTATGAACTATTATCTAATTCTTTTTTTACCAGTTAATTGACGTGTTTTTCTAACCAATGTATTTAACAAAAATGGACGAAAATGAATAATTCTTAACATGAGATATTAATCTTCGGACACAAAAAACAAACAAACAAACAATCAAAACTAAATTATGTCTAAAAACATAAGAAGAATTGTTCATTATTCATTGATTGTTTTATTTTTATTTTTCTAGATCAATATTGAATATAAATTATTTTAGAAAAAAAGCAACAAAAAGAATTATTTTTATTAAAAGAAAAAAAAAACTAAGTCTATTCAATATCATATTCTGGTTTTCCTTGTACATAGCCAGCCATATATTTTTTTGTTAGTTCAAAAGGAACTTTAACTTTTTGAACATTTTTATCAGCTTCCATTGCTTTAATCCATGCAGCAAGTTTAGGTAATTTACCATCAACATTAAATTGAAAACCAACGTCAATTAATAATGGTAAACGTTCAAACCATGGCCATAACATATAATCAACCATAGCTGGTTTTGATCCTCCGAAATAAGTATCATTAAGTGCATTTTCATATGTTGTTAAACTTTGATTTAAATCTTCAGAACCTTCTGTACCCTGTGATCGAAGAAATTTATAAAAAGGAGATACAACCTAAAAGTAAAATGTAGTAGAAATAAATTTCTATATTTGAAATAAAAATCTATTTACATTATTAAATCTTTCAACTAATATACGTTGTTGAGCTTTAACATATGAATCATTTGGTTGTAAACGATTTTCAGCTTTTGTTTCATCAAGATAATCACTAACAATAAGTGATTCTGGAATAAATCGAACTTCTTTTGTATCATTATCAATCCATTCTAATGCTGGAACTTGACCAGGTGGAGTTTTTTCTAAATACCATTCTGGTTTTTCAACAAGATTAATATTTATTTCTTCATATCTATAATAGTTCGAAATATATAACAAACAATAACAAAAAATATACAACGAACTTACGGAATATTTTTAGCAGCTAAAACAAGTTTAGCTCGTTGAACATAGGGACAAAAACGCATGCCATATAATCGTAATTGATTTTCTTTTAATGGTGGACATTCCGAACCTATTTAAATAATAAATATATATTAAATTATTGAAAGTTGTCTTTTTGTTACATATACCTGTTTTAAGATGTTTTGGAACACTTGTCATTGTTTAATAGAAAAATCTGAAGTATATATTTTGTAAATTAATGAAAACTATAAACATACAATGTATTTTTTTTTTGTATCATTTATATATCTTCAAGTAAATATGTGTCATCATCATGATGGATGCAAGTTTTTTTTTTTTCCTCTTTTTCTTTCCTGCTGCAGTAAAAATAAACTATTACTGAGCAAATATTTTTCAGTCAATGCACTTTTAATGATAAACTCATACGAATAGTTTGAACTTCGTACTTCTATTATATAGATCCTCTCATATATTAAATGCATTATCATACTCACTCATTTTATTAAATTAAATTAAATCGAGATTTTCTAAGATTATGCAGATTTTACATCTGCATAATATTCTACAATAACCGTATACTCATTGATTGCTTTCTATCGATTTATTTTATATAAGTAAATAAATTAAAAGAACTTTTTTTTTTTTTCATAATACGTAAGATAATCTTTGTGATTTTGAATAATCGTAATATTAAAATATTGAGAGTTCACGATATTATTTAATTAATAATAAAAATTATATTCATTTTTATTAGTTACATAAGAATCATTTATGAATGGATAAAGTTAATAACGAACAAGAATTTATGAAAAAAGGTCTTCATTCGTTTCTGATATGTTGCTGATAGTGCCAATAGATGTCGTATTCAATCGTATATTTATGTTGTAGGCAAAATTAAAATTCGACTTGAGATAAATTTATATGATCACGTATTTTACTAAAAGCAAAATGAAATGAATGAAAAGAGATAAAACTGTAATCGTAATGGGCGTGTTGATAAACAGTATAAACATACTTAGGGCGTACCAAAAGTTTGTGCCCCGTCATTTAAAGGACCTTGTCGGATGGGGTGAACTAGTTTAGAAATAAGAAACAAATATATCATGTTGTAGAGCTTTTCGAGCCGCATCGAATGGTATATAGTAAATTCTGTTTTCTTAGAACTTTGAACGACCTAGAGTCAATTTATTGATGGGCGACTACACATTCACATCCATTCATACTCACGTCTGCATTCACAAGATGATCGGAGATAGTGCGTATATCAAGTTGTAGCCCATCAAAAACTCTACAAAGTAGCATGCGAGAAACAATATTTTACATATGCTTTCAATTAATATCAAGAACCACAATAAACATTAACTTATGGTCCTCAGGTACGGGTGTAAATAATGATGGGTGTGAATGTGTAGTCATTTATCAGTAAATTGACTCTAGGTCCTTCAAAGTTCTATGAAAACAGGATTTACTATATACCATTCGAAGCGGCTCGAAAAGGTCTACAATATGATATATTTGTTTCTTATTTCTGAACCGATGTACCCCATCCGACAAGGCCCTTTAAATGGCGGGACACGAACTTTTGGTACGCCCTAAGTAGAAACAGAATAGTTTCTGTGAGTTGATCCGTTCGAATAATGGACACAATGTTTGCTCATTTGTGGTCTACTGGAAAGTATTCTAGGTAATTGAAACATTATGGATTCGAATTAATATTTTGCGTTTTTTTTTTAGAATATCCCATAAAATATATTCTGTCTGTTTTTGTTATTAGGATTCAAAATTGAATGTTGACAGTTTTTTTTTCATATACTCCCTTGTCGAAAAATATCTGCCTTCGGGGATGTTCTTTTTCATCATTTTTCTCTTTTTTAATTTCATAGAAGCAAGTAAATTTTCTTAAAAAGTATCGCCATTACTAACCAATGCATCGACTTTGATCTCTATCAGTATTTTCGCATAATAGTTGATGGCATTTAACAAAAGTCAGCTAAATCACTGTTAAAAAAATTTTTTTTTCAAGCTTTTTCTAGATCTTTTTACTACTCTCGAGCAAAACTAGATAGAAATTTTCTCAGTACATATTCTAATTTATTAATAAATCTTCATCTGTCTAGAGCACTTTCATGCGAGTATTATATCTAGAAATTTTCACATTAGTACTCTGAACAATCCATCGGTGATTTAAAGTTGAATTACCATTTATACTTTCTCTCTTAAAGACAATAGTTAACTGCTGAATAAATTCTAAAGACTCAGACATGGTTCTAATCTTAAATACTTAGCAATGATTATTTTCATTTATTTGATAAACGCATTGAAAATATTGAGATATTTTTTGACCCATAATTTGGTCTCTGACAATGGTCGATACTATCAAAATTACACTAGTTATTTCCTTATATATATATATTATGATTTAGTGCTCACATTCCACAAGCTCGTTATTTTGATCAACTTGAATGTACACAACCAACAAAACTTATACCACGAGGTGTACCTGAAATAAAATGTTTTGAATCTTATCTTTCACGTTTGGGTGTATCAAATAATGATCATATTGTTCTTTATGATCGTTCACCAATGGGTTTTTATGCATCTAGTCGAGCTTGGTGGTTACTTAAAGTTATTTTAATTTTTTATTATTTTTTGTCTTTATCTATTTATTTTTGTATGTGGATTTGTTTTTTTCTAGACATATGGAATGAATAGTTTATCTATTCTTAATGGTGGTTTTTATAAATGGTTAAAAGAAATTAATAAAATGGAATCATCTGATAATAATAATAATCGTTCCAAAACAGAAGAAGTAGAAAAAATAAATAAATAAATAAATCATCATATTTTTATATTTATTTTATTTAGTCAGAAAAATTTACTGTTCATTTAAATAAAGACTTATTAAAAAATTATGATGATATATTAAATATTGTTTCGACAAATAGTAAAGAACCACAAATCGTTGATGCACGATCAGCAAATCTATTTCATGGTTTAGTTTCTTTTTTTTGTGATTATAAAACCTTATTTCATTCTTTATTTCTAGGTGCTAATGCTGGACATATGCCTAATGCATTGAATGTTCCATATACAGATGTATTTGATCCAACAAATCATTGTTTTAAATCAAACGATGAACTTAAGAAAGGTAAATATTTTCAACAAATAATCTACTTAAGATGTAGCAAACTTAGAGATGAAGATATTTTAAATTTTTATTAAAATGTTAAAGTAATTTTCTCGTCTATATGATTTGATAGTAAAAAACAATGCTTTCAATCTCTCTGATATTTAATCATCCTTCAACTAATATAATAATAATAATGTTATTTGACTTAATTAAATAAAATTAAAATGTTGCATCGTTCTGTAAACAAATGAATTCCAGGAATGCAATTGAATGTCAATAACTAGGATGATTATTTCGAATATTACATGGAATAAAGACTTGATGAGCTTATTTCATTTTTTATTCTATCAAAGCCACTTTTTTGTATATTTTAATACGTATAGGTGATTAAGTATTAGAGAAGACAAGAAAAAAAGCTTGTCAGCACTAGAATCCATCAGGTTTTAATTAGCACATTCTCATTGTACTAATAAAAAATATGTAAAGTGATAGATCTCTATCAAAATTATAATTGTTTTCCAAGGATAAACGATCTTATTTATTTCTGTGTTTCAAATAGAAATTTTTTTTCCTTTTTTTATTTACCTTGTTGCCACTGGCTCGTTATTTTTCATTTTCATATTCCATTTTTCTTAATTTAATATTATTATTGTTCTAACTATTGATTTAATTATTAAATAAACCTGTTGTACAAATTCCGTTACATCTAGAGCATGTCTCAAAGCACTATTAAAACTCCGAAACACTGATATTGATTACTCTCTATAGTTATGACTTGCGCAATTCACGTTTTTTTATGTTGATCATATGACAACTGTGATAAATTAATACATTCTTACTCATCATCCTTGACATCTTGAGTATAAATTTTTGTCTAAGAAAAGATTAAAAAAAACTGTACTATTTAGAATATTGACCAAAATTTTTCAGCAATTTCAATTTCAAAGAAAGTTTTTGAATGTTCTAGAACAGTCTAACGAGCGAAAGTCTCCAAGTGTGATTCGTCAATCGAAATGATTTTTACCTATTAATAGATCTCGTAAACCTTCGAATATCCTGAAAATTTCAGTCTGAAAGAATGTACTCTCCTTGAGATATTAAATATTCAAAAACAATCATAAATTTTTAGAGTGTTCTAAGATATGCAAGATTTACTGATGAACAAAATAATAGTTTGATTGACAAGATCACATTTGAGGATAACTTCTTTCGTAAATCTTTTACTTAAAATACCTCTGTTAATACTTTTGGTATGCTCGAAATGTATTCAAATATTCTTATGTTTAGTTTTTAATAATGCTGGAGTTGATCTATCAAAACCATCAATCTATACTTGTCAAACAGGAACAACAGCAAGTACATTGGCATTTGCTGCACATATTCTTGGTCAAAAATCTTTATCAGTTTATAATGTAAGATAATATTTTATTTTCTAAGAATTAAAATGCACATATAAAATCTCATCATCGATATTTATGATGTTTGAGAAAAAATAATTTTTATTTTAAAATGTGCAAAATTAAAAATGGCTAAATATTCTATTTGTTTTATTTACTCAAAACCTAAGGGCTGTTTGACGTTCAGAATAAAGTCAAATTCAGCAGTATAGTTTTGATACAAATTTTATTATTATATTTTCTTTCTTTTTTTTTTATATTTTAGGGTTCATTTACCGAATGGCAACAACGTGCACCTCAGGAATTTATTATTCATGATCAAACAGTGAAACCTGCTGCTTAGAAAAGAAAATAATAATTTTTTTTTTTAATTTTATAAGGAAAAAAAAAAAGATAATAAGTTTATATTTTAGAGTATAGTTAAGATTATATGTATTAAATTTGAGACCCTTGAGTTTTTTAGATGATTGTACCCGTCAGAACGGGGTATCAATTTTTAACGCGGTGGCGACCGCTTTTGATACATCCATCAGTACGTAATATGATTAGTGGTCGTTCACGTTCGGAAACACCGCAAGCTGTACCTGATGGTTTGTTTAACGAAATTTTTTTTTATGTTGAATTTAATTTTTTTGGTGAAATTTATAGATTGGGGTACATTAAAACCACTTGATCAAGATCCAACATCAAAACCTATAAAACAGGATCAAAAACGTGTTGGTGCACCTGATGAAGTTAAAGGAAAAGAAATGGAAATTTTATGGCCAACAGAACGTGAGATACAAGAAGGAGAATTTTCAAAACCACAATGGGAACGAAAACAACTCAATGTAAGATTTTTTTTTCTTCGAAGAAAAAAAAACTGTCGACTATGATTGAGTGTATAGAATCTATCAAAGTTTCATAAATTTTGAATATCATAGCTTTGAAAATATTTAGTTTTTTGAAATCCATGACTTCTATGGAAAAGTGCTTAAATTTTGAAAACTTCATATATTGGAACGTGACGTCGAAAATTGATGAAATTTTTTGTTTAAGATTATCTCAGGCCTATGTTTGTGCCAGTTTGTTCAGTTGAAATTTGAAACTATGATTTCGTTGGAAATATATATTCTTTATAATTTCAGCATATTTGGTATGGTTATGATTTCAATGATAAATTTCGAGATGAAGCAAAAATGAAACAACGAATGTTTTCACTTGTTTCTGTTGGAATTTTTCTTTTTTGGTTTATGTGGCGATATTTTCCTGATCGATTGTAAGATTTTAATATTCAAAAGCGAAAACGAAAAAAAAAATTTAATTTTCAATTTAGATTAATTAATTGGTCTCAACGTGAAGCATATCTTCGTTTAGCTGCACGTGAAAGTATTGGTCTGCCAGGTGTTAGCCCTTGGTATATTGATCCAGCTAAAGTAGAACCATATTTACCAAATGATGAAGAACTTGGCGACATGCCTATTGAAATTTAGAAAAGACAAACAAAATATCTTAGATTATTAGTGACACTCACACTTTTTTTTTTCATCCCTGTTACGATCTTTTGCTTGCTCTATTTGTGTAAATGAGTCTTGTCTTCGTTCTTTTTTTTTTTTTCATATAAAAAAAAACAACCACAACAAATATAACCGATATTATTACTTGATTTATCGATTTCAATCAATGGCATTTTTTAATTATTTGAGAAGCACAAAATTATTCATAGAGTTTCTGGTTTTTTTTTAATTAAATTCAAATATTGAACTTCTTGTTCAATTTAATTTGATTAAATGTATAATCAAAATTTTAAGCCATCTATTACGAACAATATGTACTTGTTTAAGACATTTTATTCATAATAGCAATAATCGAATATAAAATAAATCTATTATTTAATCAAAGTAAAATTTTCTTGCAATTGTTATTACTTTCGTATTTCATTCTATGTACAATATAACAAGTATGATCCTACATTTATCTATGTAAAACTATACTAAATATATTTGAATCGTAGATGTCAATTATCTATTGTTGGTAAATATTTTGCAATTATAGTCTAACGTTTAAAGTTGAAATATTTTCTTTAGTGAATTAACTTTGATATGGACTGTACTTTGGACGAAATAATTAATCCTTTAAGGACAACTTGATGACAAAGTTATAGTTTAACACAAAAATAAATCGTCCGAAAATGTCGTCCATGATTAAATGAGGAAAACATATTTCTTTGTTAATAAAGATTTGTTTTACATTGCCTAAATATCGGCCGGCAGCTAGAAATTTTGAACAAGTTCTCACCAATAGGCATATGTGCACTAGTATTGTTATCAGATCAAACAAGGATATTGCATTGTTATATGATTTCACTCTCTCTCTCTCTCGCTTTCTTTACAGCTGACATGATACAAAGCAAATAAAGGCAATGCACTTACCAAACTAAATCATTCAGTCATTCTTTTCTCTGGCTACTGATGTATATATATATATAGCCAGTTAACATATGTTTGTTTTTCTTTTCTTTCGATATTATTTGAGGAAAATCGAATCGATTCGTCAAGTGTTTATCCAAGCTTGTTTTGATTCCCATTGATCATATCTTTTGAATTAAAAATAATATTATCTTATTTGTTTGGACAATAAAAAAATGCTGATGAATTCAATTGGTGCTTCTCGAAAACGATCATTTGGTACAGATAAGGAAAACGTGTGGTCATCTATGTTGGGAATAGAAATGTAAGTAGAATTTTCTTCTTTTTTTTCCTATTCATTATTAATAAATTCGTTTTTAATAGTGATTCTGGTGTTGCAACAAAACAACCGCGTCTTGCTCTTGGTTCAGCAGTGATTGATAATAATATTTTTAATTCAAGTGCGTACCATGATTATAAATATGAACTACGCTATTATAATTAAATTTATTGAATGACTCGTTGATATTTCGAAATAATTCATCACTACATACAGCTAGTATAGAGAATACAGTTGTGACCTGACTGAGACTTATAACAATAATGTTTCAATTCGATCAGTGATTTTAATCAGATAGAGATAGATTCAACACATACAAACATTTTAGTTAAGTCGAACTTTATTAATCTAAAATCTATTAGGGAATTTTCTACATATGACTATTGCGTTGTTTTATTAGTTCATTAAAACTTTGCTTTTTTTCTTAATTCTAGTTCCATATTCACCACCAGATAATTTCTTCATCAAATCAATAGCTCGTATGTATACAAACAAAAGCATTTACAATTTAAAATATTTCTTTTTATTTTTGGCTTGTCTAGCATGGTCTCCATTGAAATCTGATCCAGTTCAACTTATTCCAGCAATCGATCGTCGAGCACTTAGTAAATTAAAAACAATTAAATAAATCCGTTTAGTTTTTATTCATTTATTTAATTAAGATCGTACAGAAACTCGTTATAAAAATGGTTCATTTCGTCAAGTATTAAAATCGATTCGTTCATTAGGTGAATATGGTGATGGAAATAATGCATTTCGTGAACCAAATAGTGTTGCATGGCTTGAATGTGGAAAATTAGCTGTTGTAGATACAAATGCACATTGTATTAAAGTATTTGATAGTGAAATAGGACAATTTGAATATTCATTTGGTCGTGGACGAACATTAGGTTGTCAAAATTTACTTTATCCATATCGTATAGCTGTTGTACCTGGTGGTAATGATGAATTAGTTGTTATACAACGTCATCCTCGACCACAAATTCATATATTTACATGTAAAGGTGATTTTATTAGACGATTTGGTCAACATTTAGAAAAACCTCGTGCATTAACTGTTGATAAATTACGTCGAATTATTGTTATTGAATCACAAATACAAAAATTACATATATTTTCATTTGATGGAAAAATTCTTTCTTTATGTAATTTAAATGAACAATTAAAATTTCCAACATCAATCTGTTCAAATAATTCAGAAATATTTATATCAGATAATCATCTTCATTCAGTCAAAGTTTTTTCATATCATGGACAACTACTACGTGAAATAAAAGAAGACAATTATATAATGTTTCCAACAAATATTAAATTAAATGTTAAAGGACAGCTTATAGTAATTGATAATCATCAAGGTTTAAATATAACTGTTTATGATGAATATGAACAAAAGAAACGTTTAGGTGCTTATACAGCACGAATATGTCATTCACAAATTCTTGATGTAGCTATTGAATCAAATCAAAAAAATATTCTTCATTTAGCATCAAAAGATTATCGAGTATATTCATATCAAATTCCGTTGTAAATAATTTTTCTTTTTATAAAAAGAAAAAACTTGAATGTTTAGTCTACTTTATCGTTCGGTAGTTGTTCATATTTTTATTATTATTAGTTAACGTTGTGAGTTTTTTCTTTTTCTTTTATTTTAAAAATATATATATTATTTTTTAATTAAAAAAAACAAAACGTTTTCGTGTTCTTCGTTTTATTCATAATCTCCTACGTAGTTGAATTAGTGAAATGATTCATGTTAGAAAATGGACACCACTTGCAGAACCATTTCCATTTATTCTCTCACTTGATCCACAATATTGTTCAGTTCTTGTACGTTTAACTTCATCTTCAATTTTATATAAAGACATAACAACAAAAATTGAAATAATTGAAGGAGGAATTCAAATAAAATCAAATGAACAAGATAGAATTCTTTATTAGAAGATGCATATGAAGCTATGAAATCTTTAATTGTTAGACAATGTCTAGGAGCAAATCCAAATGAACGAGAATTATTTCATAGAATAAAAGAAAAAGGTATTCAAGGGATAACAGATTATGGATTTTTATGATCGATATTTCAGTCCAACTGAAAGATGAGGTAAGTTATTCAGGTTTCAATAATTATTGATAACCATTCATAGTGTGTTTATCGCTGATCTCTGAAAATCTCATTCATATACTCGCCCTAATTCAACTGATCAAACACGTGTTATATTTTACGTCGAAGTCTTATTAGGCGCTCTATCCGTACAAAATACAAAATAATAAAATGTTGAGTTCAGCACCAAATTACCAGCAGCTACCAGGATTTTTCTATAAAAATCTGACTATATATTTTATCGTCAAACGGAAAACATTATGCTCAGTGCAGGGGCCTAGGTGTGGATGAGGACAAGAACGTCACTCAGAGGATCGTACCAGCTGCAGGTGAAAGCGAACTCTTCTATATTATGTATGTTTCTTTCTACAGTTAAAATATATTTATGCTATGAACAGGTAAATCTGCTCGTTCAAATAAATCCCAAAAAGATAAATTCCGGTAGCTCCTCTCTTAGTTGTCAAATATAATTGCAATAAAAATATCAATAAGAAACTTTCATGAAGAAATTATTTAGGATTTTGAATATGAATTAGATTTAATAAAAAAAAATTTCAACTTTATTATTCTGTTTGTATTGTTTTCAATCTCAATGTTCGGTCTCTTTTCTAACATAACTCGCTCGTTACAAGTCTTTATTTGTTTCATCTTCTTCTTACTTTCTTTTCTATGACAATTCGTATTATCTCATAATTAAGTTCCTTTTTTTTTAGATTTAATTATGGAGAAAATTCTCAAATAGTACAAAAGAAAGAATCCCTTATTGCATTAACTTATTGAAAAACAATATGTTGATATTATTAAATAAATGTTACAAAATTTAATTTAAAAGCAACAATTAAACGAGAAACAGATAATTTCAATTTTTTTGATTCAACTCATTCAAATCAACATTGGAAAATATCTGATCTTCTATTAGAAATTGGTCATAATAAAACATTTACAGATATTATCACCCTAATAAGTAGAATATTAAACTTTACATAGATGCCTTTTTACTTCTGTCGAATCAATCGAAATAAACATACAATATATTTTTTAGAGGAGTTGCTATATATATCGGGATTCCATGTATTTAGCTTATCTCGCAATATGTTTTTCACATTGATGTTGAGTTATTGTTTTAACAGTCGCTTCATCTTTACAATAAATATAAAATATTGTAGTTTTAAATAAAGTAGTTTTTGCTCCAATAAAACTAGTTTCAGTATTTAGAATAAAAAATGACATAAGTGAGTAACTACATAGATAAACTATATTCGTCATAACTCTTGTTTATTTTCATTTTTAATCTAATCTGAAAAAATTCTAACATTACTTGAATGTCTTGACGTAATAGAACATAAAGTGAATAATAATTTATTTAATTTATAAAATATCTCTGTTAATCAATTGTCAAAATTCGAAAGAAAAATAATCCTTTTTTACGGTAGTCTTTCATTTATTTAGTTTCAATCGTCGAATATTGACAATTCTAATAAATTCTTAGCAAATGGCAATCATCGTTTTAAAAACAAAAACATTGTTTTGAAGTATTTGTAACTAATGATAAGATCAATTTAGATGAAGTCACCATTATACAATAGTATTTATATGAGACAAATACAGAATTGAATAGAAAAATTCTAAAATAAAAACAAGAAGAAATATATGAATTACAAACAATTAAGAAATAATCATGTGCACTTAATCTTTTTAAATTAATTTCATTTTTATTTTTGTTCTTGGATCTGTACAGTTTTGTTAACAATCGATTTTACCATATGTCTTATTAATGGATCATTCGATGTTAAAGAAGGATGCTCTTTGCAACACAAGTAAATGGACACATAAAACTGTTTAACATTGTTCTCATTGCAAACGAGCTTTTTGCATGAATTCTACGAGAAATTGTTTTTATAACTACTACAAAAATA